AAAACAAGGACATGAAATTGTAAATGAAAATTTAACAAAAAGGAAATGAAACGTACAGTAAAAAAATGGAAGTTTAATAATAATCAGCAGCAACAAAACCAAAAAAACACACGAAAATATTCACAATTTCTTGAGACGTTAACAGGGTAAAGTGACTCCTACTCGAATATTCTCTCCTTTGTTTGTCGCCCAAGAGAAGCGTGACTTACAGGCATCAGCATGACATGTTGTCGGGTTGAGGAGCAAACTGTTGGAGGTGAGAGATGTCCGAGAACCGAGGTTTCATTGTATTTCAATTAAAATGTAAATAGTCACATGAGATTAGAGACTAAATGTTCAGGCACAATTTTCATAACTTTAGATTCATTCATCTTTTTTCTTTTAAAAAACTATATATTTTTATTGATTTCAGAGAGAAAGGGAGAGGGAGAGATAGAAACATCAATGATGAGAGAATCATTGATTGGCTGCCTCCTGCACACACCCTACTGGGGGGTCGAGCCCACAACGCGGGCCTGTGCCCCGGACTGGAATTGAACTCAGGACCCTTCAGTCTGCGGCGGGCCTGTGCCCCGGACTGGAATTGAACTCAAGACCCTTCAGTCTGCAGGCCAACATTCTATCCACTGAGCCAACCGGCTAGGGCAGTGGTTGGCAAACTCACTAGTCAACAGAGCCAAATATCAACAGTACAACGACTGAAATTTCTTTTGAGAGCCACATTTTTTAAACTTAAACTATATAGGTAGGTACATTGTTATTAACTTAATCAGGGTACTCCTAAGGCTCAGGAAGAGCCACACTCAAGGGGCCAAAGAGCCGCATGTGGCTCGCGAGTCGCAGTTTGCCGACCACAGGGCTGGGCTTTTCTTTTTTTAAGTTCTGGACCACGGATGGAAAAGTCTGAGGCTGGCGTGGCTGGCACAGCCCGAGACTAGTGACGTCCTCGTGTGGAGTGGAAGGTAGGCCTCCGGCCTTGCAGAGCTCATCGGTACCACACCGTGCTAGCCTCCTGGGGACCAGCTGCGAGGCTGTCCCTCGTCTCTCCAAGTCTGAGCAGCTTTTCCACATCAGGCGGGAGAGACGGAGCGACAGCCTAGCAGTTGGTCCCCAGGAGACTAAAACGGAAACATCTAGCAAAGGAAGCCTGCAGCTTATCCTAACAGCCGGCTTTCTGTTAAGTCTTAGTGGTGCTCAGAACATGTCCAAGAAATTAAATAGCTAAGGAGCTATTTATACATACCCTATTCTCACAAGTTACCTTTTTTTTTTTTAATTCCCTGATCTTTTGCAAAAATGTACCGGAAAGACCAATAATTCATTAACATTGCAAGACAACAGCAGTTTCCAGTAGTTTAAGATTCTGATGTTTTAAGTACATTTCACGATGAGACACCAAAGAAATCTCAGGTTGTGATTTCTGGAGTGAAACACGGACGCGTTCGCAGAATTCCCTTCACGGGTCTCCACGGGGCTCGCGCGTGGGGTGCAGGCTCCGGACAAGTCCCTGCGGCCTGAACGGAGTCAGGGCTGACCAGACCCTTCCGCAGGGGACCCTGAGGGTCAGCTGCTTGACAGTGAAAATGTGATTTCAGACTGGAAGTCACTCTCCAACATAAAAACAAAACCACCACGTGAGCTTCCTAACACATTCATCTTGTTTTAAAGCACCTCCTACAGGTACGGAGTTAGAGTTAGCCTCTTGTAAGATTTGATATATCAGTCACTGAGCTTAACAAACCAACTAAACTAACCCCCACATCTTTATGTTCATTTGGATAAATAACTAGACAACATAAAGGCTTTCCCTGAAGCAAGACACTCCCTACGTGAACACGTGGCTCCCTCTTGTGGTCAAAGCGAACCTCACATGCACAGGCTAATGGGGCTGGCTTCATGCCTCACCTATTCCCCCAAATGAAGCAGCTACATTAAAATTACCCTGAATTGCCCCGCCAGCGTGGCTCAGTGGTTGAGCATTGACCTATGAACCAGTTCAATACCCAGTCAGGGCATATGCCCAGGTAACGGGCTCGACCCCCAGTGAGAGGTGTGCAGGAGGCAGCCAATCAATGATTCTCTCTCATCATTGATGTTTCTCTCTCCCTCTCCCTTCTTCTCTGAAATCAATAAAAATGTATTGAGTTATCAATGAAAATATTTTTAAATTATAAAGTAAAATAAAAAGTTACCCTGCATTACTAATGTGACTAAATACACACCATCCAGGCAGTAGTGTCCCAACCCCTGGGGATGGCTTCAGCTGCCCACCTCCAGAGGGAGGCGAGGATGGCCACTGACATCTGCACAGGTTAATAAAGGCCGTTGAATAAACTTCACCTTCTCACAATGCATTTCATCTTATCTGCCAACGTAAGACACAAGATGCTTATCTCCCATAGCTCCGCAACCAAGTGTGACCTCCATTGAAGCCTGTACTGAGGAACTGATTTTAAAAGAAACACCAGGTTTCTTCGGTCACGCCAATAGCCAAGTCAAAGTATTGGGAGCGTGTGAAGGGCGGTGCACTATTTGCACTGAGAAAGAAGGGGCCTCTATGGGATGTGAGCCCTACAGTCTCGTACCCACCTGGGCAGGCAGGTCCCTTGGCCTGAAGGAGTCTCATCTACAGTGAAGCAGGCGTGTTCATGCCCTTCTCCGACCCCCTTCCTCCTCCCAACACTCTAAACCCAAAGCCAGCATCTGAGGAGCGAAGGGCAAAACTCACACGTCGTCAAGGTCAGGTCTGAAAGCCGAGTCCAAGTATTTTACCAGTTTTGTGGTCCAAAGACAGACTCACTGCTCCCTAAAGCAAGCTGACAGGAAAACAGTGTCACTTTTTGGTATAACAGTCACCATATTAAACAATGCGAATGTTAGAAAACAAAACGGGTGATTATGATCTTCTGGGTTAGACAGTGTGACAAATGCAGGGAGTAAGGAGAGAGTATGTTCAACCCAACACAGATGCTCCTGGACATAAAATGTGGTTACCTCCATAAACGCGTCCAAAGTTAAAAATATTGTAAGTCAAACATGCGTCTAATGCCGCGCTGTAGAGTGTCGGCTGTTTACTCCTGATCATGGGGCTGACCCTGGACTGCGCTTGCTGCCACTGTCCAGCATTAGGAGCGAGTAAGGTAGCATATTGCTAACCCAGGAAAAGATCCAAGATGCAAAATATGCCTGACCAATGTGACTCAGTAGTTGAGTGTCGACCTATGAATCAGGAGGTTCGGTTCGGTTCAGTTCTATTCTGGGTCAGGGCACATGCCCAGGTTGCAGGCTCAATCCCCAGTAGGGGGCATGCAGGAGGCAGCCGATAAATGATTCTCTCTCATCGATGTTTCTATCGCTCTCTCCCTCTTCCTTCTTCTCTGTAAAAAAATCAATAAAAATATTTTTAAAAAACCAGACTGATGAATCTCAGAGGGACCAGTGGGGTCCCTCGGCCTGGCCTGTGCCCTCTCACAATCCCG